TATAGATACTATATATATATAATAACTAAAGATACTTAACTTAGAAGAAATAAATACTAAAAACTTACACTAAGAGCGTTTATTAGTTTTCTTTTAAGCTATACGTTAAGTAATTCCTTTTATATATAGAACCTACTAAAAAATAAAATATTCACTATATAAGACGTAATATTTAATAAAAAGAAGTTTTATAGTAGAAATCTAGTATATATAGTAAAAGAGTTCTATTATATAAACCTTAAAATAATCTAAAAATATATTACTTAGCTTATTAAGGTATCTTATAATACTTTTATAAAATAAAAAGCTAATAAGGAAGTAGATAAGATCCTTAATTATATTAAAACTACTATAAGAGAAAAAATTAATTAAGAATAGCTAGAGAAGATAGTATTATATATAAATATATAGTTTAAGCTTTAGCTAATACTACCTCTTTCTCTAAAACTAATAAGTTTATTTATAATACTTAGTGAAACTCTTTAAGGAGTTTCTAATATAAAGGGGTAAGAAATAAGCTTATTAGTAATAAAAGTAACCTTTAAAACCTTATTTAAAGCTATATTCTTAATAAGAAGTAATCTATATAAAAATCCTTATACTCTCTAGAGACTAAATAGCTTAAGTAGCTTATATATATAGCTTAGCTAGCTCTATATAGCTATAAAGGAAGATTAATCTATAAATATAGTAGAAAAGCTATAAAATAAAGAAGTAGAGATTAAAAGCTTAGAAGTTTTTAAAAAAAGCTTAGAGAAATATAAAATACCCTCTAGAAGCTCCCTCTTATTAAGAGTAGCTTAATCTATATACTTATACTTTATAAGTACTTATTAATAAGAATTACCTCTCCTCTTAATATTATATTAATAACTCTTAAGTTAAAAAGAATAGCTAAATTATAAAAAGAAATATAATTTCTTAAAGTTTAATTATTACTTTCTAATAAAAAGTTTCTTATAAGTAGAAAAATCTCACCTATAAAGTTATAAGAAGTCTAAGTTATAAGAAGAAATTATAAGAAATATTTTAGGAGATTAATAAATCTTTAGATACTACTAAATATATACTTATAAATTTAATAAATATAATAAACTTATAAAGCTAAAAGCTTATTTAGTAATTTAAAAAGATTAATAAATAAAAGATACTTAAAATACTTATACTATAACTCTTATAAGAATATTATTTTAAACTTTAATAGCTATAATAAACTACTTTAACTTAAAGCTTCTTTAATATAATATAATAAATATATTTATATATATTAAGCTTAATAAGATAGTATATATAAAGTTCCTACTTAGCTATAAAAAGCCTAAAAAGATACTTAAGCTTAAAAAAGCTTTATATAAACTTTATTAATCTTCTCTCTTATAGTAGTATTATCTTAAGAAGGGACTAAAAGAGTTAAACTTCTTATAAATAATAAAAGAGGATTACTATTAGAGAAAAAGTTAAGTATACTTCTTCTTCTATATAAATAACTATATACTTACTTACTTAATAGCTTTTTAAAAAGAAGCTAAAAAAATAGTTAAAAAACTTTAAAAAAGATATTACTTTAAAAGTAGTAAAAGCTTATAATAGTTTCTTAGTATTAAGGTTTTCTATAATTAAAAAATAAAGAAACTTTAGCTCTTATAATTAGTTTATATAAAAAAAGCAAGAAAACTCTTCTTATTAAGATACTCTCTAAAGATATAAAATAAAACCCCTATAAAATATATTAAGCTACTTCTATATAAAAAAAAAACTTTAAATAGTAAAGTTAATCTCTATTAGAGAAAAATAAAAACTATTTTATATATAGTAGTAATAATAAGACTAGATCTTATATTTATAGTAAGTTATCTAGCTTACTTTAATTAGAATCTTAGACTAAAACACTAATAAGCTATAGATTAAGCTTTATAGTATTTCTATAAAATATACTATTTATATATTAAGTATAGAGTTAAAGCTAAAAGCCTATATAATACTCTTAAAATAACCTCTAATATAAGTTTTAATAATAATACTTTAGATTAAAAAAGCTCCTAGGGATTTATAATAAAGTTTTTTAGAGGTATTATTATATAGAAAGTAAATAAATAAATAACTATAATAACCTTAACTATAAAAGTAAAGCTCTTCTTACTCTTATTTATAACTTAAGAAGTAATATTTATAAGTTACTTTATAATATCTCTCTAAGTATAACTCCTTAGAGAGATAAAATAGAAAATATCCTTTTAACTTATAAAAAGTACTCCTATAATAATATAAATCTAATATAATAACTAGTAGATAGTTAAGCTAATTACTAAAAAGCTTATCTATCTCTAAATAAGGTTATACTATATTAATATTTATAACTACTAGCTTTATTAGGAGATCTATAAGAAGTATATATTAGTAATATATACTCCTTCTATATAGCTAATAGTAGATAATCTTATAAAGTCTCTTTTATAGTAAGCTTTTAAGAATTTCTAAGTATAGCTAGAAATAGCTAGTTAAGAAGAAACCCTTAAAAAAAACTATACTTCTAAGCTTAAAAGAGATAAAGAGAGCTAAAAGAAAGAAATAGAGAAAGAAAATATTTAAGATAACTTTATATAATAAATATAGAGAATTATAGAAATAAAAAGTAGAGAGTATAAAAAAACTTCTATTTAAAGTAGAAAACTACTAAAGAAACTAAATATCTATAAATTTATAACTTAAAAGTAGAACTATCTTAAGCTAAAGCTCTTAAGATATTAAGAAACTATAAAATAAGAACGTTTAAATATTTTTAGGAGTAAAAATAAAAAGGATAACTTTATAAGAAGTAGCTAAAGAGATAGCTAATTTAAAAGTATTAAGCTAATTATAGAACTCCTTAAAATTAATATAGTTAAACTTAAAAGTATAAAAAAGAGTATAGTTAAAGTTATAATAAATAGCTATAATAGTACTTTAAATATAACTTAAAGTAGAGTAAAAACTAAAGAAAATATTTAAAAAAGTAAAAGAAGTATAAACTAAAGTCTCTAAATAAAGAGGAAATAAGCTAAGAGGAGGTATAATAATAAAAAGTATAAAAACTAAAATAGAGTAATAAATATATAAAGTATACTTAAGAGAGGTAATACCTTACTTCTTAATAGCTTTATAAGCTATAATAACTTTATAAATAATATCTTAAAGGTCCTCTTAAGTAATACTAATTCTCTATAAAAAATTAATAACTATATAGAAACACTTAATAAGGGATAATTTATACTTTAGCTAAAATAAACTTATTACTTTTAATATATTCCTTTATTTTATAAAGCTTATAATAAAGAGTAATAATCTCCTTAATACTTATAAAGTAGCTACTACCCTTTATATAGTAGTAATAATAAATATTTTTACTAAAGAGGTAGTAACTAAAATATAAATAGCTTTTATTAAAAGAGAGAGAGTAACTAAAATAGAACTTATCTTCTAACTTAAGAGAGAAGTCTATAAAGTTAAAAAAGTTATTAATACTTATAATAACTTTACTCTTTTCTTCTTCTTCCTCTTCTTTACTAATAATAATAATAGTAATAATCTCTATATTAATATAAATAGCTTAGAAAGTAGCTTCTTTTTTCTTTTATTTCTTTTTTTAGTAGTAATATACTTAATAAAGTATTTAGTAGTATAATCTTTTTTTTTCTATTTAGTAAGAGAGAAAGTAAAAGCTTTAGTTTCTTTAATCTCTTTCTTCTCTTTAGCCTCTTTCTTAGCTTAACGTTAAATATTAGAGGGGTAGTTATACTTCTTTTTAATAGAGGTTTCTTTAACTTAGTTATTATTAAAATCTTCTTTTTTAATAAGCTAAGTAGTAAAATACTTAATATAACTAGAAAAGTAAATAAGTAAAATAAAGATAAAAACTATAAAAAGAGGATTAATAATAAAAAATATTTATAAAAAGAGTATAAACTAATAATTAGAATTAATAAAAGAAGCTAGCTTATTTTCTTTAAAGTTATTAGAGAAGTTAAAAAAGAAGTAAGCTAAATAATAATACTTAAGAGTTTTAAGTATATATATATAGCTAGTATAAAAAATAATAAAATAAGCTTTATATTTAGTATTAAAAATACTATAAAAAGATATTATAAAGTATTTAATCTACTTAAAGTAAGTATTAATATAGTAGTAAAAAGGTAGTATAAAAATAATATATAATTTATAAAATCTTAAAAACTAAAAAAAAAAAAGAAAAAAAATAATAAAAAATATAAATAGTAAAAAATTATTTATTTACTTTCTTATTTTTAAAAAGAGCTAAAGTAGTTAGTAAAACTATAACTAATTAAAAACTTTAAACTAGTTAAGTAAAATAGAAAATACTTTATTTTACTATTCTAATTACTTATAGTAAGAAAAGCTATTATTTTATAACCTATAAAACTATTAAAACTATAATAATAAGAAGTAATTAAAGCTATTTAGAAACACTTAATTAAGCTATAAAGATAACTATATAATTACACTAATTATCCCTAAGGGGGTATATTAGATTATAGGGGTTAAAATAGTACTTCTTAGCTACTAGGGGGCAGCCTAAATAAATAGATAATCCGCCTAATGAGAGTAATAGGCCCTGCGAAAACCGCGCGCAGAGTTTTTGCCTATGCCCAGGGATACGTAGTTAATACACATCTAAGTCAATTTGTCAGTACGTACCTTCCCAGACAAGAAAGCGGGCCAGTGTACCACACACTCCACTGTCAGACACGCGGAAGGCACCTACCCAAATTGGACACGGCGCTCCCACTGACTGGCCGACTGGTTAGCCCTCCACCCTGCAGCACGCACGACTGCCGATCAACTCAATTGCGACGCCTTGCTTCTCATCAGTTCTCAACCACCAAGGCCTGAATTGCGACGAGACACCACCTTCACAAGCAGTTTCACCCTCCTTCCAAGTCAAAGAAGCACCGTCTCCCGCACGATTTTGCTACCGAACTCAACAATCCAACCAAACATCCGCCATGTCGAAAGCTGCACCCAAAGACAACCCGCACTGCCATTTAGACCTGAGGTGTCCCATCACCGACATCAGCGACCACCGCTGCATCTCGCCCAAGTCCGTCATCGAACTCCTCGTGCACTAGGGCTGCCACGCCGGAGGAACGACTTGGGCCAGGGAGAAGAAATTGTGGGACAGCCGCGACCACAAGAAGGCTGTCTTGGCATACTGGTCGCCGGACGGGGTCAACACGCGATCCGAGAAGCTTGGCCTGGACCCTGTCAGAGGTCCTTTTGTTCTCGAATGCATCATCAGCAAGATTGCCTGGAGTCAGGACTACGATACCGATGAGGAGGAGGAGCAAGGGCCCGATTGTCGCACGATCGAGGCAAGCGATGTCAACGACGGCGACGCTGCAGGCGGCGAGGACCCAGACCTGGACAGCGATGATGATTCAGACGGGGACGAGGAGGATACCGAGGGCAGTGATAAAGAGGACGAGTACTTGGTGGAGTACGTCGGGTACAGTCCCATTTGGCTGCCTGCTCACCAGGTGTGCCCAGACGCAATCAAGAATTGGAAGGGAGCCAGGGTTCCCGCTGGCGGTCTTCGTCCTCTGCCAGGCACAGGAGACATGGCATGATTTCCATGACAAGACGGTTTGGCAAACCAGGCAGATCGTTTGAACAGTTGGGATGTGACTTCAATCAGGAGTGGTATTTGACCGCGCAGAGGATCGGACGGAGGTGGCACAGACGGACGGGCCCCAAATGGGATTGATGTCACGACAAAGACGTTGCAAGTAGTGTCCCATGGCTTCAAAATACATGCACGCTGGCAGGAGCAATGTCTAGCAGTTAATTTCAATCGATTTAAAGACTGTACGACGTCTTCCATGGCCGTCGAGATGTGACGCGGGATGGAATGGCAGAGAACATGCATGGATCCCCGTTTCATGGCTATGTGGTTGCAACGGGAATGGGTGCATCGCCTGACTGGCCACAGGATAACACAATGTCCTTACTCTACCTCAGTGAGGGATTTTCCAATGTGACACTGGAATGCCCCTATCAGTGGCGTGGCACTAGAGGGAGGCAGGCTTGACTTGGACGCAGCTTGGTCAGCGCAAGCACGTCGTGGTTACGCATCGCATCGTCTGAACAGCTGCGTCCGAACCGCTATGAGCTGCCGACCAGCCACACACCGTTGGTTGACTTCAGCCGGCGGAACCACAAAGTACTGATATGGCCGGCACAAGCTTCTGGTGCCGGATTTTCTGACCCAAAGACCCAGGTCTCAATTGAGTGATTAACGCAGGCTGGGTCTGAGCTGGTGCGCTTCAGCCGGAGCTTGCGCCGCGCGAAATACGGCGCAAATTGTCATCCAGCACATCAGAACCAAACCATCTGCAAGGCTGGTGATCTTTATTCCACGCTCATCTTCATTGCTCCGCAATATGCGGGGGACAGCGGCCTCGTTGAGCCAGGCAGCTGCAGTCCCAGTGTGTGTAGTCTGCAGGCTGAACCCCACCGAAACAAATGTGCCGATGAACGGCAGGAGAATCAGAAATTTCGTCTGTGCCTTCCTTGAATCCGTGGGGCATGCTCTAGACCTTCCAGCTGGGGTAGGTAGTTGGGTACCCTGCCTGCCCAGCATACCTTGAAGCAGAAGGCACCGTAGGGGCTGCGGGGCTGTGAGGGAAGGGCCTGCCGTTGCAACGTTGGTGCAGTGTGCCGTCCAAGTAGGCGCGAAATGTGAATGGAAGTCACCGATGTGACTGCCAGCGCCAGAAGGACCTTCCATACCTTGTTGGCTCAGACCTCACATTTTTTGGTGGGCGGAATGTGAGGCTTGTCCAACCTGCCAATTTTGCTGATCGCCGATTTTACCACCTGCCGACTTTTCCACTTGTTGATTTCACTACCTGTCTTCTCACGCTTTGCAGACCTCTGCCGCGCCTGCGTACTTCTGCCACACCTATCGACTTCTGAGACCTGCAGACTTCTGAGGCCTTCGGACTTCTGCCGGGCACAGCTTCCATTCTCCACGACTCCCTTCGCCAGTTCCTGCCTCCAACCGCACTGGCACCTACCTCATGGCGCCCCAGCTTTCGTGCCTGCAGATTCTGTTCTTCCGCGTCCATCAGACAGGTACCGGGCACGACAACTCAACCCAACCGCTGGCATCCGTCTCCCCAAAACAACCACCCATCTTCCCAACGACATTCGATCCATCGTCATCACATCGTAACTGTTCCCGTCTTCCGGTATTATTCATACCCCCTCCATCACTACACATCGGACGCAACTGACATTCGCTAGTTTCCGGGGGGTTTTCTCTTTATCGACTACCTCCCGCCGGACCGAACCGATGCACGCTCCCCACCGGGGTTGAGCCAAGAAAGGCTGAGGGAGCAGCGACCCATACGTTCACATGGTCAAGAGGCGGAACAAGATCGAGCTCCTCTCGAGTTGAGCAGATACACGAGCTCCCCCGCCGGGGTTGAGAAGAAAGGCTGAGAGAGCAGCGATCCATACGGTGAAGATTTCAAGAGGTGGTAGTACACCGAGCTCCCCCGCCGGGGGTTGAGCAAAGAAAGGCTGAGAGAGCAGCGATCCATACGGTGAAAATTTCAAGAGGTGGTAGTACACCGAGCTCCCCCCGCCGGGGTTGAGAAGAAAGGCTGAGGGAGCAGCGACCAATATGTTGATAAGGCTTCTGGGGGAACAAGCTCCTTACCTGAGATTGAGCACGATACCGCGACCGAGATTCCTCCGGGCCGAGCGAAAGGTTCAGCTCCTGACCCTGATCGCCGCCGATCTACCAACATTTGCACTCGTGGCAGCGACCGAGCTAATGGCACTCTTTCTCAACCGTCAAGGGAAGGCTTTCGGACTGGCGGCCGACGCTTGACGCTGTACTGCATGGTCTCAAAATTGCAGCCAAAGACACCACAGTTGAGTGGATGACATGGAGACCGCCTACTCCATACCATCTCTATCACGGAGGCGGAGAGCATCTCATGCCGTTTCGAGCGCTGTCCCTAGAGCAACATCATCCACGGCGTGGTCTTGAGCATCTCAAGTGCACAGAGTGACCCTGACAAGGATGATGGACGGACCAGTGTCCTGAACTCGCCACTTGGTGGTCCAAGATGAACGAGTTGCTTCCATTCCACGTGTCCATCAATTCACATGTCGTCCTTTTCGCCCGGTGTGGTCGTCTTTTTCCGGCTTTGTTATCGTTTTCTCTTCCCCACCTCTGCATTCGAGGGCAAGCGCTCCTTAGCAAACAGAATTCGTTGGGCGATCTACGCCTGCTGCGACATCACTGGTTCGCACTGCCCTCCATACACAGCCAGAGAGTTGACAGATGGATATCCATGTGGTGCGTTCTACAAGTAGAGATTGCCAGATCATCGTTGTAAGGGTGCGCAGCCCTACCCGTCTGTCACTGGAGCGTTGGAGCGCTGCTCCTGAAGCTCCGAAGGTCAATGGACCTTCAACCCTCGCAATTCCCCGCTGCCGTGCGCATACATAACAATTGCCGGGAAGATTATCGCAAAGTTGCGGAGACGTCGATCAGCTCCGCACGCTCACTTCCGGACGTCTTGCAACTCGGCTCCAACCGCGGCTCGTCGGCGCAGCGCATGCGCATACGCAATGAGTCAAATGACTCAACTCTGGCGTTTTTGCTTCCACGAGCCGTAGCGAGCCCCATCCCCCGTCCCCCGTCCCCCGTCATGCATCACACGTTTCAGATAATCTTGGTCTACAATCAAACGGCGTCGGCTCATCCTCATGTTGCCATGATCTCAGACTACCCATCATGCCTTCTGCAATTCTTGCGCTTGCAACAGAGCTGTTTCCGGGCATTGCCGCGCTCCGCATGTTATTTGGAAAACTATCAAGCATGATTCAAAATTGATGTGTGAACCCATCGTCTGTGTATTCGTCGCCATGCCATCGCTGTAGCGACACCTTGCTCTCCTTCCTTCGTCTGGGAGTAGGCGCATGGTCCTCATCAACGGGGTCTTGCATCTCACGTCGCCTTGTCTACACAATCCACGTACTTTTATCAGGTCTCAGTCGCCTCTACTACATGTTCAGTTTCCCTCTGTTGCTCCCTATTTTGCGTGGGGCTGTCTTTTGGCGCCGTCTTTTTCTTCTCTCAAGGTCACACTCATTCTTGATGGTTTCGTCTGATCACCAAGAGGATCTCCCACACCTTGTTTCGTTTTACATCCAGACGTGATTATCTTTCACCTGGCTTTGCGAACGAGCGTTTCGGCCAGCGAAATGCGGCGACGTATGCGTTCCATGCGTACTGTTCACGCTAATCCTCGACGAGGATACGGTTTACATACACGTCAATGTGTTCAACGGGGGCGAGAGTTGTCGTCAGTCTTGGATCCCTGGCCATATAGGTAGCCCCCTTGGCTGATACTGAATGCGAAAGTGGGGGAAGCCGCCAGCAAACGCTGCAGAGGCATGTTTGAAAAGGCCATTTGGAGTTTTAAATACATATTTACTAGTGCCAGTGCCATTGTCAATGATGGTGCCAGTGCTGTTGGTGCTGAATCTAAAATATTGTCCCTTGGCTCTGCATTCTTGGCATCCGTATGTCAGTTCCCAATACCCATCGCTCATAATTCTGCCTTTCCAACGGCCTCCCGAGCTTCCTGACGGTTTGATGTAAGCTTTTGTTCATCTTTTGGCGGACAAGTTTGGACTGCCGCCAAACGTAATCTCCCTCGTCAGTGGAAGTCAAGAGCCCTGAGTTTGAGCAGCGCGCCGTGAGGCACAAATCCGAAGATGAAAATACAACCAAGAGTCACTAATCAGTTGATTCTTGACGATGAATAGCGCCTTCTCTCACGTTTCGAATGGAGCACTGAAGGTCTTATGGCGGCATCAAAGATCCGCACCATGTCACCTCTAAGCCACTGCCCTGTTCCTAGAAACGATGATTTGGGTGATGTCTGAGGGTGAGCTCGAAGTTTCCTCAGTATTAATTTTTTTTGACACAAGATGGTTCTCATCCAGGATTCCACAGCCATACACTGATCCCTTCGTGTCTGTCTACCTCGGGAGACGACATCTGAAATGGCAATCTCCTTGGCTATGATGGGTCGTATCCGCATGTTCGGCGACTCCAAAATTTGGCCTAGACTACTTCTATCTGGTAATCCAAATGAGTAGCAGGTAAAAGCAACAAGGGGGAACTGACGCCTTGCGTGTACGTGCGTTGTCTGGTCCGTGGCTCGGTTGGCGGGTGTTGACTCAAAGGCAATTGGTCAACTACCATCTCGAAAAAGCCTCCGCGCCAGATTGCAGAACCTCAACATCATTTGATCAAAGCATACCAAGGTCATTTGGGGGAAAGTCTATACACACGCCTTCCCAACTCCATGGCCAAAGGTGGAAAGCTTGGGAACCATCATACAACGGCAGCTCAAAATTGGGAATAGTGCGTCTCCAAATGGACGACAGCCACGGAAGCAGCAAGCCGTCCGCAAGTGCAGAATAGACGGCGGTGGCTCTCGAGGAGAATAGCAGCGGACACGCGAAGCACGGTACGAGGATTGCAGAGAGAATATGAGCTGCAGCAAGCGTATACAAATACCTGCTTCAGGGTATAACA